TCCATGATGACCTGGACAAGGGATCAAGTGCACTCTCAATCAGTTTGCAAGTGACACCAAGCTGGGTGGGAGTGCTGATCTGCTGGAGGGCAGGAAGGCTCTGCAGAGGGATCTGGACAGGCTGGACCATGGGCCAAGGCCAGTGGTGTGAGGTTCAACAAGGCCCAGTGCTGGGTCCTGCCCTTGGGTCACAGCAAGCCCAGGCAGTGCCACAGGCTGGGGCAGAGTGGCTGGAAAGGACCTGGGGGTGGTGGTGAGAGCAGCTGAACATGAGCCAGGCTGTGCCCAGGTGGCCAAGAAGGCCAATGTCATCCTGGCCTGGATCAGCAATGGTGTGGCCAGCAGGAGCAGGGCAGGGATTGTCCCCTGTACTGGGCACTGGTAAGGCCAACACTTCCAATCCTGTGTTTAATTTTCAGCCCCTACCACAGGAAGGTCATTTTGATGCTGGAACATGTTCAGAGAGGATAACAAGGATGGCAAAACATTTGGAGCAAAGTCCTAAGAGGAGTGGCTGAGGGAACTGGGGGACTTTCAGCTAGAGAAAATCAGAAAAAAAACCTTTATCACTCCTACATCTACCTGAAAAGAGGTGTAGAAAGGTTGGTCCCCCCTTTTCCCAGGGACAAAAAATAGAATGAGAGGAAATAGCCTCAGCTGTACCATAGGAATGGCATAGTAGGAAAAATTCCTTCATGGAAAAAATTCTTCATGGAAAGGTTTGCAAAACATTCCAACAGGCTGCTCAGGGAAGTGTGGAATGTCCATCCCTGGAGGGTGTTAAAGTATGTAGATGAGATGCTTAGGAATAAGGCTTAGTGGTGGACTTGGCAGTATTAGTTTGATGGTTGACCTCAATGATTTTAAAGATCCTTTCCAACCTAAATAATTCTACGATTCTATAATTTTTATTTTGATTTTTTTCTGTTGTGTAAGCTCTCTTTATTTACCCTTGTCTGGTCTTTTCCTTCCTTTTCTCCCCTTTATATAATCTTCCTTTCCTCATAAGAATGCTGTCTTCTCTCACAGAAGGGAAGAGAAGGTTTAGAGAAGACCCCTTTCTCTCTCAGAACCTCTCATCAACCTTTACCCACATCTGAAGCTGCAAGGACTGAAGCAAAGCAATTTGTGAAGCTCAGACCTTGCCAACTGCTCACTTGGCTTCACTGAGAAGTGTATATCCCTTTTGGCATAGCCTATCAGCTTTGAAGCCAGTCACCTGCAGAGCTATTCATTAGCTCACAGTGTAAAAACACTGATAGCCCTGGGTAGGACACAGCTGGATGCTGAAGAGGAATCAGAGGCAGAAGATTACAACATTTTGAGAGTGAGAGAATACAAGGTTCTTCACAAAAAAAAGCAGTGGAACAAGTGGATATGAGGAAGTAAAAGATAAATACAACATGATACTAAATAGTGATGATACAGAATTATACAAGCTGGAGGTTGGTCTAGGTCTGAAGTTCCTGAAGGAACTGCTTGGGTAAGTCAACAATCTTGTCCTCGTTCCACACAGTCTCCATCTCTGTTGGAACATTTTTGCAGTTGTTATGTATATAGACTGCTTGTACACCCTTCATGTCACAGTCTCCAAGGGGTGGATATGCAATCCTAAAGTGTTTTTTGCCACTAGACGTAGTATACAAAACTGCTGGTAAAAGTCAGGGTGTGTGGACTTACTCAGGGAACCCCTCAGAACTGCAAGTTACGAGAAACTACATTCACAGTTTTGGATTTTTGCTAACTTTTGATTCCCCATGAAAAAGTGAAGAATTTGAGAAAATACCTGAATTACGAGTTTTGTTCTACCATAGTGACACCAGCACTCTCTGATAGATTCCAGTAATATAGAAGGAGTACTGCAGGAAGGTTTAGAGATTGTCTAAGGAAGGATGAAGAAAGTTGTCTGTAGGTAAGTCTCAGATGTAATGAAGTATAGTCTAAAGCAGTCTCAAAAAGGAATATTATGTTAATATATCTTGAGAAAGACTTTTTTCACAAGGGATAACAGGCAGGAGAAAAGCTTCTTAATAGCTTTTAGTTACATCACTTAACAATATCTAACCTGTATTTCCTAATATTTCTGTGGGTTTGGAGAAGAAATTTGGCCAAATTGGCAATTATGGCAAATTGAAGAAATTTTGCATTCTGGATATACTGTGTGCTTTTAAAAGAGGCCACATTTATTTAGCATCTTTTTTTTTGCTCAGAAGAAAGAATAAACTCCAGCTTCATTCAAGTTAGCAGCTATGTTGTGAGCCATGCTCTCTATCAGAAAAACATTCTTTTGACAGTTTCAAACAGATTCAACAAGGTGCTTTTTGATGATAAATATTTGTACCTTCCCACAATGGCTAATGATGAATACCATGCACAGTTTCTCTTCTATGTCTTTTCACTTTGTAGGAAACCATGTCTAAAGCCCTCCTAGACCTTTATCAGACTTCTGGATTAAATTTGAGTGATCTTTAATTAAAAGAAATTATCCCAATAACTCTCTGCCCCTTCAGAAAACTCCCACTCCTCTCCAGTCTGAGTAACAATACTATTTTGCCTTTAAAACATATAAAATCATTCAAGTTCCATAGTTGGGCTATTTGAATCACACAAAATTACTGGAACAAACTATCCTCACTCAAAAACGGAGGTACAGTGGAAGGTCATTGAGAAGCCTAGAGAAAACGTGTGCCTTTTCCAAAAGGAAACCAGAGATCTGGTTACCTGAATATGGAGAAGGCTGGGGCACTTAACTTTTTTTCCCCCTCAGTCTTCATCATGAAGAGCTCCACTCACATCAGCTGCAGGAGACAAGGCAGGGGAACTTGAAGAATGACAACATTCCACTGCAGGAGAAGATCAGGTTCGAGAACATCTAAGTAGCCTGAAGATCCACAGGCTGATGGGACCTGATAAGATACACTGGTGGGTCCTGATGAAATTGAAAGACAAAGTTTCTAAGCCACTATCCTCCATATCTGAGAAACTGAGGCAGTTTTGTGAGGTGCCCATTGACTGGAAGAGGGGCAAGTTTTGTGATGTGCCCATTGACTGGAGGAGGAAACACCTATCAAGATGGGATTTTCCTCATCTTGAGGGTCTGACAAACAGATTTCTAGAAACCTCATGGCTTTCACACTCCTACCCTGATATAATCTGAAAGGGATTATTCAGGGGAAAAATCCAATCTTTGAAGAAAACAGCAAATATGAGCCAGCCATGAATCTCTCTCTGCAGTAATTGCTATGAGGAACAACTCTACAGTTCATGCTGTCTTTTGTTGTTGTTGTTGTTGGATTGGTTTGGAGTTTGTTTTGTTTTGGAGACTCCATTTAATATATAGTACATGGTGACAAATTATCTATGATCTATTCATGTAGCTCTCAAAGATGCGGTAGGAGGACTTTGAACAGAGTGGGGAAAGTGTAAGATAAAGATTTGAAGGGCCTGCTCCTTCAAGGACCTTTAATAATATGCTGGGTATACAAGAGAATGTGGTTCCCAATCAAGGACAAACATGTATCACAAGGAAAGCTACAGGCACTGACTCTTACTGTAAAAGCTCCTAGACAGGTGAGGAGGAAATGGTGTAGGCAAGTTTCTCATGAAGCATAATAAATACATATTTTGCAGTATATCCCAAAAGGGACAATTTCAGTTAAAGCCATTTTGGGTCTGCAAAAAAACAAACCTTTGTAGCATAAGGGTCCAGACCTGCCCCAGGAAATGGACCAGGCTAAGCAGTAATACAACAAGCTTCTCAACTTTGCAGGATCACAGAAGAGTGAAAGTGTCATGCTACATGATCTGTAGTGTTTGTGCATGGAGTGAAAAAACATAGCTTCTGGAACTGATGGTAATTTATGATAAGGGATTTTTTAAATTTTGTTTTTCTATGGGATTTGGGGTTTTCAGGAAGTAGAATATTGCCATTTTTCCTTCTTGTCTTATAAAGCAGTATCTGACAATCTGGTGACAAACTAAGAGATTCTTCTAGCTAGATGACTCCTCACACTTTTCTCTCTCCTCTTGTCCTTCTATTCCTCTTCCTAAATCAGTTTAAAACTACTGAGTGCTATGGTAATTTCTTTTTGGTATTCATGTTGAGCCCTAGCCTACTTCAGACCAGTTCAAAGGATTTCTCAGAGCACAAATATCATACAACTGCATTGCTGAACCATAGCTCCATAACATAAAGGCAACAAACCATTAAAGAAATGGAGTTCATGTGTGTGGCTTTACAGCACAGCTGCTGTGCTCTCATCTGATCCTGCCTATTCAGCATACCAAAGACTGATAGTGGTCTGAACTGGAACTGTAATTAGGAGTCTTAATCTGAATCAAGCAATGACCAGAAGTGCTAAACCAAGCAGTCAGCAGAACAGAGCTCTTGTTTATCCAAGTGTGCAGTAAAGGTATAGGTTTTCTCATAGTAGTTTACTTATCTAAGTCCTTCTCTGCTCATAAAAGTTTATATTTATAAATTTAATCACTGAGAAGTTATTTAAATGAAAAGTAAAGAAAACACAGGTTCATAAACTCCAAATGTTTCAGAGAGAACATTTGACACAGTTTAGGACCCCATTGTAAATTTATCATGATGCCATGTGCACAATATTGTGCACATAAAGACATTAGAAACTTTACAAATATTACCAAAAACTTAGTGTACATCTGTATTGAGAGTGTTACTTTGCTGACTGAACAAGATACTGTACACAAAGAAGCTGAGGCTTAAAAGAGTTAAGCAAGTTGATCAACTTCACAAAACAAATCCTTTGCAATATAAGAACCAACTCAATCTCACAGTTTTCAGTCTGTGTCTTTCCTCCAAAATTATTCTTCCCCTTCAGGTAGCTATTCAGGAGTGTAGTAGCTGCCTTGCTTAGTTCTCTCACCACTGACACGGATTATATTTCTACACTAAATAATGTGCTCATGCAAACAGAAAAGTTTTATTAACACACAGAATTGTGAAAATTAACAAAACCAGAGGAGCTTACCCAAATCCAGAAAACAAGCGACAGAAGAGGAAGAAGCCATAGCCCTGGACAAAGGATGAAAGGAAGGCAAAGAATCCATTGACAGACATACATATCAGGAGTGATTGTCTCCTTCCCACCTTGTCTGCCAAGCCTCCCCAGAAGAATGCCCCCACCATCATCCCAAGGTACACGATACTCCCTGTAATACACAAAAATACAAAAAGAGATATTTTGTCAGCTACATAATTGACAACACCAAAAATCAGTTAACCTTCTAACCTTACAAAAAGATAGTATACTGATGATTTTATCCTTTCTCCCTGAATAGAAATTACATGCACAGTTTTGTAAATGTATCTAGAGAGAACAGATTTCCTACTGTTTTTTTCATCTGTTACCAGACACACTTAATATAAACATAAAACTGAAGCTTAATATAGATACTAAAGGTGCATCTAGCTAAAACAATGAACATGCAGGCAAATAAGTCTGACTATGAGGAGAAAATGCCACTATTTCCTCAGAATTAAAATGAATTCATGTTAAATATTGCGAAAAAATATTACTTCCCCTACAGATACAATTTGTCTGAACATCTCCTGCAGGACATTAAACATCAGGATCACTGGGAGTAATATGTGCTAAAAAAAGCTGATTATAAAACAAACACTTTTCACCTGAGACCTATAGAATCAAAAACGTCCATCTTGATTGGTTTTTTCTCCCTCCTACATCAGTGTATTTCTTTATTTTAAAAGTCAATGTCCTTTCAAAGCAAAAACACTGTAATGCTCTTGACTTGTTGTTTTGGGGGTTTTTTTGTCATGTTTCCCCCTCTCAATAATTATAATAAATGTAACAGATACAGTTACATTTCTTAAAATGGTATAGCAAAAAAGAATATTGGGGTGATTTTTTTTAGCATAAATTGTGTTTCCACATGTACTTTCTCACAGAAAGGTAAGTTGAAATATTTAACATTTTAATTGTTCACATCTTAACACATTGTACATAATTTCCTTTCCAAACACCCTGTGGAACATTTGACAAATATGTATAACATATTGAGCAGACTGTCAGAAGGAAAAAGTAATTCCCAAGTTTTGGACAGAACCATTAACTTTTTATTTTGTTTAATACGTGGAATTCTTTTTCCATCTAGTTTCTTGTTGAACTTCCCAGGTTAGGTTTTATATATTCTGCATATTGCTACCATCTTCTACAGAGCAGGTATTATTCTCTAAGGTGCTAGAAGTAATTAAAATACTAGAAATCTTTGTTATGCGTCTCCTTTTGATTAATCTCAAGAATGGACAAATTATCCAGTATCTCTAATGGACTGTAATTGCTGTGAAATTCTGGCCTCCAAAAGAATCACCTTTGCCCTGCAGAAGGTAGTTGGATGGTAAAGGAAGCTGAAGAAAACCCATTTAAATTCCTGGGCTTGGTTAAATGTGTATCAGTGTAGAGTTTACTCATCAGTATTTCTGTTCTTGGAATTACAGATGATAACATCTGAAGTGCTGACATCTGCAGGGTCTTATACACCCTGAAGTGTCTCTGTTCCCTCTCATGTTCGTGCAAGTAGTTTCCACTGCTGTTTCCTTATGAGACATAATTTGAAATAGGATATTTTTTAAATAGGATACATATTGTGTGTTATATTGTATATTAACAAGATTATAGAATCAGAATTACATAAAGTGGTTTGGGTTGGAAGGGACCTTAAAGACCACCTTAAACTTCAATCCCCTGCCATGAGTAGAGGCATCTTCCTTTAAATCAGATGCTTCTGATTTCTCAGAGCTGCATCTAATCTCAGGATAACAGATCCCATGCTGCTCATTACAGGAGAATTGCTAAAGCAACAAACTCCGTAAGAAAAACAGTTAAGTGTCTTCTAAAAAACAGCATTTGTCAATGAATATTTTCTAAATTTTGCTGGGTTCTTAAACTTTCATCAAAAAATACTGATGATAATACAAGTAAATCCAGAATTTGCAGAATTACTAAGGCATCTTTCTTTACCTTCTTTAGCTCAGGAAGGACACAGACATTACAGTATTCTTTTTCAGTATAGAGGTGTTTAGGAGCAGACATTTATTGGATAGCTTTTTCATTCTGATCAGAAATTTTATTCCATTAGTTGAGATTTTCCTGTAAATGCACATGGCTAATGTATTTCCTGGTCCTAAAGAGACAAAGATTGGTGGGTAATTTAGCATATTCATTCAACGGCTTTAAGATCTCTCCTGTGGGTTATTTCACCATGCTGCAGGTGGATCGCTGCCCATAAGCAGTTTGGAAACTCCATCCAACAGATCTGCTGCTTGCTTGACAGTAGGAGTGGAAAGAATGTAGCAAAGATCATCAAATAGCTATATTGCCAGCAGACAGATTTCAAAAAGAAAAAAAGTTCATTTTTATTCTTACAGTGAAATTCATTACATTCTTTTCCGTATAAGTATTATTGGGTTTTCCCGGTCAACATTCTAATATAAGAAATAGAGAAGACCAATTAAATAGCCTTTTATTTCTTTATAGAGAAAACTTTGAAATATTTCGATGCAAATAATCATAATTTTACCAATTTACATTCCTTGTGATGCACAAATATATCAAAACATTTTGAACAACGAAAGAAAAATGTTTCCAAGTCTTGAGTTTAAAAAAAACCCCTTTCTTTTAGATGAAAAATCCTTTGGTCATTGTACTGTGTTTTGGACTCTTATACTGATGTAATTCTCCTAAAGAACATCTGAAAGATGCTGCTAAAAATAATATTCTCATCCTGTCAATAAACTGCTATAAATAAGCTGCTCTCTGAGCAGCAGCATTATCTTTTTCTTTCCCATTATATTAACTTCCAATTTTTTCCTAATTGCCTCGTAGTCTTTGCACACAGCCTGTCCTTGACCAAAGATCTGTAACCCTTCCATCCTGAACCTACTGCAGCTACCAACAGTACACGTTTTGGTACATTTTCTGTCTTCTATTCTGTATTTTCTGTCTCTCTTTATTGTAAGACATTCATACAATGGTTTGGGTTGTAAGGGACCTTAAAGCCCATCTATTTCCAACCCCCCTGCCATGGGCACTCCTCATTAGACCTGATTTTTCAGACCCCCATTCCCCCTGGCCTTGCAAACTTCCAGAGACAGTGCATCCTCAGCTTCTCTGTACAATCTGTCCCATAATGAAGAACTTCTTCCTTATCTAAACCTGCTGGATTCTGAAAATTCTCTAGATTTTGGGTGTCTCTTGTTGGCACTGGCACCGGCACCAAAATGCTAGGATTGGGGTAGATTGAAGTTCTCCTTTCTTTACTTCAGTAAACTTTGGTTTACTTTAGTAAACCTTAGTTTAAACCCCTCCCGCATCATGTAAAAAGAAAGTGCTCTTTGTCTCAACTTCCAAATTTTTCCTTAAGATCATTTTACCCTGCAGCAATATTCACAATAAGTCACAAAAGTGAAAAACGGCACAGGAGAACTCTAACCATGTAAAATAGCTGAACAACCACCCAACAAATGTAAGTAGACAATGAGCTAAGATGATAATTTTATTGTCATCAGATTATCAAGAGCATTTCTTTTCTAACCTTTGTAGTTCTTGTTTATTATGTTATACCACTGGTCAGAACATAAATGTCTTGTGGATAACACTAAATTTTTTGCACATCTTTTATAATTCACACATTACATTTTGCATAAATTCATACATGTAAAAATTAGGTACCACATTGTTCATCAATCTATAGATGTATATAGATGTCAACCTAGCATGTAATGCTGAGACGGTACTCCTTTTTTGAACAGCTACTACCAACCACAAGACTGGCTACTTTTATCTTTCTTTTTGTACACTTTTCTCTAAAGAAATCAGCTAATACAGTGGAAGGAACTCACTGGTTTGATATCCAGTCTGACCTTAGAACATATTTTAAATATATAAAGACTTCGAAGGATATCTGTATCATATGTCTTGGATTTTCCCCACAAGGTAACAAAACTGTCTAAAACTGTCAATTTTTGGAAGAGCATTGAGAAGAGGCAGATGGTAGCTGAAAAGAAACATGCTAAAGTAAATAATCTCTTTTATTGTTCTTTTGACAAGTTTTAACAAACCTGTATTTTCTTTCCATCACAGAATTCTTACATATTTCAATGATTTTCACCCACTGCACAAATGTATGTAATACACACATCCTCTTCAGACAAGGGAACCTTAGTGTGGGATTGCTTTACACTATACACACACTTTGGCTACCAGATGGCTAGATATTTTTACAGGTATGTGTACACAGCATCTTTCATACTGCTAGAAAGAGTTTAGCCTAACAAACAGCTGACCAAAAACTCCCTTGGTATCCAAATGCTAATTATGGACAATTTAAACAATGACATAACAATAAATGCATAACTAGTCACTTCAGTTAAGCAGTATTTTACTCCTTGTACTGCCATAACTTTATTACTTGCTGATATCAGTTGTAATTCATAGCCTGGTATTTAAAAGATAGACAAAACCTTCTGAGAAATCAGTTTGTAAGTGTATTTAGTCAGGAAAAAATACAGCAATGAAAGAAAAGTCAGATTTCGCTGCAATAGAGAGTCTCAGAGGCTATGGGACTCCCTGATTAGCTTTTTGAATTAACATACCGATTGTAAATCAGTTATAAAATGAGCATGGAGTTTTTGTTTCCTGTTACGTGGTTTGGGTAATTTGTCTGAATGAGGAAAGCATTTCATACAGCCAGAAAAAGAACACATGTTATAAAAAGACTTTAAAAATAAGATTAAAATATCATTTCTATTCTGGAAAGAGCAATTATAAACATCATTCCATAACAAGCAAAACAATTTTTTAAAGAATTATAATGTAATCAGTGTTTTACTTACTTATACTTGGATCTTCCCATATGCTATTGTTTAGAATATAATAATTCATAGTGAAGTATTGCAATGCCTATAAGTAGCATGATGAATATAAGAATAAGAATATCCAGATTTAAATTTGTTTTAATCCTGATAATACAGTATATTTGGAGTTTAAAGACTATAATCTTTCAGACCTGTATTTAATTATAATCTGTTAATAGTTTCTTTGATCAGAAAAGACTTGGAAAATTGGAGCAACCTATGCAGTAACTGTCAAACATAACCTCTAATTAAGTATTTGCAATGGGAGGTAATTAAG